TCCGGGAGTTGGAGGTTTCTGTGAGCTGTGACTCGAGGGCACTCTACCCAGGGCGACAGCTTGAGACTCTGTCTCAAAAAAAAAAAAAAAAAAAAAAAAAAGCCAGGTACTGTGGTGGGCGCCTATAGTCCCAGCTACTTGGGAGGCTAAGGCAAGAGAATCGCTTAAACCCAAGAGTTGGTGGTTGCTGTGAGCTATGATGCTATGGCACTCTACCAGAAGACATAGTAAGTGAGACTCTGTCTCAGAAAAAAAAAAAAGTCATTGCACTCCAGCCTAGACAACACAGCAAGACACAAAGACGCACACCTCTTAAATAAAAAATAAATAAAACGGGTGGCAACTGTGGCTCAGTGGGTAGGGCACTGGCCCCATATATTGAGGGTGGCAGGTTCGAACCCAGCCCCAGCCAAACTGCAACAAAAAATAGCCAGGCACTGTAGTAGGCACCTGTAGTCCCAGTTACTTGGGAGGCTGAGGCAAGAGAATCACCTAAGCCTAGGAGCAGGAGGTTGCTGTGAGCTGTGATACCATAGCACTCTACCCAGGACGATAAAATGAGACTGTCTCTAAAAAAAAAAAAAAAAAAAAGGAAAGAAAAGAAAAAAATAATAAATAAATAAATAAAAAGGGCTCAGAGCCCATAGCTCAGCAGCTAGGGCGCCAGCCACATACACCAGAGGGGTTTGAATCCAGCCCGAGCCTGCCAACAACGACAACTACAACCAAAAAATAAAATGGAGCCAGGCGTTGTGGCAGGCACCTGTAGTCCCAGCTACCTGGGGGGCTGAGGCAAGAGAATCACTGAAGCCCAAGAGTTGGAGGTTGCTATGAGCTGTAACACCAAGGTACTCTACTGAGGGCAACAAAGTGAGACTCTGTCTAAATAAATAAACAAATAAAAAGAAGTCAAGTTAAATAGAGTAAAGCTCCTTACCATGGCGATATAACTGTAACTGAGCACGATTTCTCGGATCTTCCTCATCTCTTCTTCTAGATTGCTGGCCCACACTTCACAAATAACCTGGCTATTCTCCACAAGTGCTGCAGGCATCCTGAAGAAACTGGAGAAGTCACTCTCACACTAGTTTTTAGAGGGCAAGCCACACAATGTTTGATAAGATCTAGATTCAAAAACATATTTTGAAATCACGTAAGTTTACACACTGGCATAAGATGGGAACAAAACAATGACATCAAAATATTTTACCATCACTTCAGCAGTTTAAGCTAAAACATTAAGATGATTACATTTAGGTTGAACATGGTGGCTCACACCTGTAATCCCAGCACTCTGGGAGGCCAAAGCAGGTGGATTGCTGTAGCTTAGGAATTTGAGACCAGCCTGAGCAAGAAAGAGACCCTGTGTCTACTAAAAACAGAAAACTAGCCAGGCATTGTGGTAGTAGTCCCAACTACTCAGGAAGCTGAGACAAGAGGATAGCTTGAGCCAAGGGGTTTGAGGTTGCAGTAAGCCTTGGGGCCACAGCACTCTACAAGGATAACTGAGACTCTGTCTCAAAAAAATAAAAAAATTTAAAAAAAAAGATATTTAATCTCCATGTTATATGACAGAGAAATTTGCTTTGTCAACACACACACACACACACATATACACACGAATTCTTTCTGAAGAAACTTTTGCCCATGAAGCCCTCTAAGCAAAGAAGTGAAACCACTACCGAAAACCAATTTTTCAGCCCTCTGCAGACTACTAAAAGGCTAAAACAGTCCCATTACCACAAATATGCCCTTATCCAGGACTTTCACATCACTGTGCACAGACACCAAATCATAAAAACATTCCAAAAGGAATCACTTCAGCCATTTTAAATGTTTCCTGGGCTCTCCAACGGCCTGGAATAATGTGAACTGAACTCTCACACTCAAGTCTTTCCACCCATATCACAAATATAGGTACTGAGCTCTTCCTGTGATCACTCCAAAAAGGAAATTCTTTTTTGTTGTTTGTTGTTGTTGTTGTTTTGAGACAAAGTCTCACTTTGTTGTCCTCAGTAGAATGCCGTGGCATCACAGCTCATAGCAACCTCAAACTCTTGGATTTAAGTGATTCTCTTGCCTCAGTCTCCCAAGTAGCTACAACTACAGGAGCCCACCACAACACCCAGCTATTTTTAGTGTCTCTCACTCTGGCTCAGGCTGGTCTGGAACTCCTGAACTCAAGGCAATCCATCCACCTTGGCCTCCCAGAGTGCTAGCATTACAGGTGTGAGCCACCGTGTCCAGCCTTGAAATTTGTTTTTAAAAGGTAGCTCCCCCAACAAACATAGGTGGAAATTTCTTAAAGAATCAATTCCTTGGGGGTGGCGCCTGTGGTTCAAGGAGTAGGGCGCCGGCCCCATATGCTGGAGGTGGTAAGTTCAAGCCTAGCCTCAGCCAAAAACTGCAAAAAATAATAATAAATAAATAAATAAATAAATTTAAAAAAAAAAATCAATTCCTCAGCTCAGTGCCTGTGGCTCAAGCGGCTAAGGCGCCAGCCCCATACACCTAAGGTGGCGGGTTCGAATCCCCAGCCTGGGCCCGCCAAACAACAATGATGGCTGCAACCAAAAAATGGCCAGG